TGAGTCCAGACCAGGAAGATGCTCCGAGGGCTGGAGCCCCTCTGCTATGGGGACAGGCTGAGAGAGTTGGGCTTGTTCAGCCTGGAGAAGAGAAGGCTCCGAGGAGACCTTATAGCACCTTCCAGTGCCTGAAGGGGCTACAAGGAAGCTGGGGGGGACTTTTTACAAGGGCCTGTAGTGACAGGACGAGGGGTAACGGGTTTAAATTGAAAGTGGGGAGGTTTAGATTGGATATCAGGAAGAAGTTCTTCCCAGAGGGGGTGATGAAGCACTGGAATGGGTTGCCCAGAGAAGCTGTGGATGCCCCATCCCTGGAAGTGTTCAAGGCCAGGCTGGATGAGGCTTGGAGCAACCTGGTCTAGTGGAAGGTGTCCCTGCCCATGGCAGGGGGGTTGGAACTAGATGGTCTGTAAGGTTCTTTCCAACCCAAACAATTCTGTGATTCTATGACTAATCACTGCTCAGATTTAACTGAGCCGATGTCTATTTATACAATAGGAAACGAAGGCAAAATGCAGTGCAGTGAATCTGAACACTGGCTGCACTGACATAATTTTGTTGGAAATCCTGATGGCTCCACGTAATATAAACGGATTCTACCCACTACAGCAGCCCCACCTTCCTTGGAAACAGAACTAGTCATATGGTAAGATACTCATTTAAATATATCGCATTTAGATCTTTAATACATGGGATAGCCACACTTAGAACATTTAAAGATGGCTCAGAAGCAAAACTGATGGACCAACTGTGTCAATATCTCTGTCCACACACACCGAGAGCAAAATCTTTCAGTCATACAGGGGATAAAAACATTTCTTTCTTACCAACTTTTGTTTACGCATAAAACCCCCTGGGTTAATCCAGAATATACACTCTGTGTTTCAGTAACTTATTTTTTCAGTACGAGCAGCATCTTCAACACGATGACAAACAGCAGTCACCTTGAAACGATCCTCTGAAAATAAATATTCCCTGTAGCGAAAGCAGGAAATAACATACAGGACTGTGAAGCTTAGGATCGGTGCAAATTTTTTTTTTTTTTAAAGTTCACTTGGTATAATCACAACGTAAACTACAAGATCGCAGACCAAAAAATATATTTGAAATGCTAAAAAAATAAAATCAAACCGATGTGCGACATCCAGAGAAATGAAACCGTAAACCAGAAAACTGCCTCGATGAAGGAAAATGGTGGTCATAACGATTCTATTCCATTTCCAAAAAACCTCATTTTTTTCTAGAAAACTGTACTCACAGCATGTTCTCAAATGCCAAGTCAGGCTTGGCAACAAGAGCACAGAAAGAAACATCACTTGGACGCGCAAAACATGAAGGTTGTGGTAATGTTTTTTAAACCAAGGTTGTATCAGTGACATTTATAATTTCTCTTATAGCATGTGATCAAATAAAACAGAAAGCCAGAATGTATACATTGCTAATTTTTTAAGTAATGTTATGTACATTTTATTGCCAGTATATGCACAATGGTAAGCATAGAACTATAAATACACAATGTAACTGAACAGTAGAAAACAACAAGGATGTTACACGTAACAAAGGAAAGAAAGAGGAGATAGTATTTTCTTGATGGAGCTGCTAAAAAGGGCTTGTGACGTATTATGACAGTCTTGTTTTAAATCTTTACATAGATTTCTACAACTTTTCCTCCAAATAAATCTCTGCAATGGCATTGCTTCTTTAACAACCACAGCTCAGCTCTTTCTATTGCATTCACTTAAAACTGAAGCAAAAACAACTTTTCATGGAGCTACAAGCATCTGACTTAATTTTTATGCAGTTTTGCTTTTCAGGGTTCCTAGCAAGTAAAGTGTGTAAGTAGTTTTCTTATGATACTGGGCTGCAATGTTGAAGGACAGAGTTTTGAACACACATTAAGTGATAATCTGGGGGGAAAACAACACCCAAACAAAAAAAGAGAGGTTTTTTGTAGACAGTTTTTCCACTGGGTGCTATGTGCAGCAGCTCAGGCAAAAATTAGTCACCCTGAAGAGGTAGAGAGAATTTTAGCCCAGCACAGATCATCATCCTTGGCACTGCTATTTTCTCTCTTACCAGGATACACTCCCTACAACTAGACAACATCACAGTCAAAGGGGAAAAAAAAAAGTCAGGAAAAAAAATTTCCACCATTCCTGGGAAGGGCATGGTCTTGTCCCAGTTCTCAGTTAATTAGCTAGCTGCTTGTATCCAAAAAAAAAAAAAGGAAGAAAGGAAAAAGACAACATTTAGGGACACATTTACTTAATCTTTGCTCTCTTTCCATTATATCAAGTTTCATAAATACAAAGAACCATTATTCACAATAAACTAGCTCTTTTTCAAAAATGGAAAAACAAACCCTGGAAACATTTCCACACCTTAATCCAGATGGGCCTTGAGGATGCTATTCAAGAAAACCATGCAAACAATTTGGTGCAGCTTTCCCAACTCATCCAAAATATATATATATTTTTTTTTTAAATTAAAAGGTGGCAAGATCCATATATTTGTGACTATTCCCCCTCCCCTCCCCTTTAGATCCAATGCAGAAAACTTTGGTGCTTTGAGGAAGGTAACGAATAAAGAGTTTTCTGCACTGCTGCTGTAAAATCCCATGTGAGTTACAAGACAAGACTACTCGTTCCAGCAATTAGGTTGAGAGGAAACATTCTAGTGATAAAGATAAATACATACTGAGCATGCTTGGGCAGAGCACTCCATTCCGAAGCATCCTGCTTGAAGAACGGAAGGTGACACGGATGGTTCACGTCCATCAAGTGACCATGAACTCTGCTGCTAGGAAGCAGACTGCCACGCTATCACCAGGTCAGCAGTGCTACCCTGAGAGGGCTGCCGTCCACACCGAGAGGTACTGGTCATACCAGTCCTCTGCTGCTGCGCACACTAAATTCTTATTTATGCAACAAACATACAACCAATGAACAATATCACTTTTACAGAACTGGATCCATCCAGCTTTTTTTTTATAGGCGTATTTCTCAATCTCCAGAATATCCCAAACAAGCTGTAAATAAGATGATGAACCACCAACACAGTGAACAAGTCTCACTGCAGTTCAGACTAGTTCAGCCTTGTTTCACATCACTTCTCGTTTCTAGCGAAGGACAGAATACTCAAACGAAACAGCAATAAAAAAGTAATGTTATCTGCAGCTGAATAAAAGCAACAGAATTTATATCTTAACTTCTGAAGCTTAAAGCATACCTTTTTAATTAGCATTAAAAAAAAATCTTTTTTTAAATACAATAACACTGGCAGAAGTTAATGGGAAGACACAGAGGATTGCAAACAGGATAACTGATGGATTAGATTATTTTTTAATTTTATTCTGCTTTGATCAACTGATGTTAATACTGTTTTTCCTTGGATCTGGAATAATTCTATTGCAACAGTCACATGCAGGCTGGAGAACAGCCTTTGGTTAAAGGGAAAAAAAAACCCCAAACAACCCAAAACAAAAGAAAGGGGAGGGGGGGGGAAAAACCAACAACCAAGGAAAAATGTTCCAAAATTGTACGTAAGAATTTTCCTTTCGCTGAAGAGGGCCTTGGCCCTTGCTTTAGGAGACCTGGTCAACTCCTGTCAGCTTCATTAGCTTTGTCCAGACAGATCTGCTGCGGTGTCCCCTGGTCCAGAGCCTGTTTGTGCACGTTTGATGTAAAGGTTCAATAATTTCATCTGCAAAATCAAGCCAGAAAGTCACTTTGTTTAGGATCTGCAAACTGGACAGACTACAGGAAGGGTGCAACAAGTGAGACAGTAAATCATTTTCTGTTCCTCAGAAGCAAAACTGCATGTTACACATTTGATTCAAAGGGAACATACTTGCCAGTGGAACCATCGGACAGAGCGAAGTCTGTCACAAGGAACTGCTCAAGCTTCTTCACGGGTGTAAAGAACAGCATGATCTAAGGTAGCTAGATTTATACAGGTGGAAGATTTTCCTCAAATTACAACACTTATCTAAATCAGATTGGTTGGGGTTTTTTTCAAGTTCATGTTGAGGCTTTAAGCCTCTACTTAAGAGCTGTTGATGCTGGCACTTACTAAATCTTCCAGTACTCTCTAGAATCACAATCCATACAATCACTGTCAGAGAGGGGTTTTTTTAAGATATCACTTATTCAAAGATATACAAAATCAAATGTCTTGTTTTATTCCCAAGGACGAAAAGCTTCACAATTAACTCAGAGCTGTTTGCACACAAAAAGCTGTATGTAGGAGACATCAATAAAATCATAAGTATCCCAAACCAAAAAAGGACTGCAGACTGATTACTATTATTTCAAATTAGCGGTACTGAAAGGACTGATGAAAGCAAAACAACGAAGAGAGAGAATAAATAAAACTGCTGTAACACCTCTGTGTTACATTTATTGCTTTCAAATCAGACCTTGCATGAAAAACTGGAGAAGTACTGTCAGGAAGAGCCATGCTGAGCCCTTATCAGTACCACTGGTGACACAACCAGTAACTAAACCCATTAAACAGCAGCAAGAAACATAATTTACTATTCATCTTAATGCTGAAGTTTGGACACTTGCATAAAGATCCAGGGATTTCCAGTTTTGAACATTTTATGACCAAGTTCTATCAACCCTCAGAGGTTTCAGGAGCCCTGATATTCTCACTGAAGTGTATACTTTTATGAAACTTTCTGGCAATTGCAACCAAAACGCCAGCGCGTGCAAGCAATTATGAACTAAGATTTCTTAAAATGGGATCTCTTACTTACTTTGCTGCCAGTGAGTTGACTGAGATGTGGTTTTAGTTCATCTCCAATTACTGCATGAATGGCTACAAGGCAGAACACACATGCCTTACGAACACTGCTCTCTGAATTATCATAACCCTAGAAAGCAATAAAATTAACATTAATACCTTATCAGTTAATGATTAAAAGCCTCAGAAAGCTATTCACTTATTTACTATAATAAATACATTGAAGTCGAAAGTAAATTAATGCTAGTGTAGCCCAACGAAGCATTCCAACAAAAAAACAAACACTCCTTAAAAAGCAGGCTGCTTATTAATCACCATTGATAGTAATTTTCCAGACTGGAATGGAGACTGACACAATCCTGTTTGTAAGTTACTCTAAAAACAGCTGCTGTCACGCAGTAGGGGAGTACGTAAGAGGGACTGTTCTAGACCGTCAGGTATTAAAGGAGAGGACCACTCCATTCGGAGCCTCCTTACTCTGAAAGAAGTACACCTGCAAATTAGTGTCTCAGGAATTTCTTTTTAAAGACAAAGGAAGAGAAAGCTCTGATGCCCTTTTTGTTTCATTAAATTTCCCCAATCAACTGCTTCTTTCCTCTTGCCTCCCCCAAAGCCAAGTTATAAAACCCTACAATTACACACAAATATAACACCGCCAATTTCAGACCAAATGTTTACTACTGGGAAAAAGACAAACAACCAAAAACTTACCAATAAAAATATCTGCCAAGCTCAACTATAACCAGTATGTTACACCCTGCTGAGATTTCCCCTGAGTGCTAACCACAGTTGCAGATTAGCTACCTGCCAACCAGAGTTTGTTCCCACTGTCCAAGGTATTTTGGGTCAAAGCAGCCGTCGGCTGTCAGACAAACAAAACCCATCATGACAGCCAACTGACACTATTTCTAAAACGTCGCTGCAATTCTTACATACACAATTTCTTTTTTGTTGCTGTTTGTTTGGGGCTTTTTCCTTTCTTTTCTCCTTACCTGTATCAGACCTGGCACAATCTCTGGTAATAGCTGAGTGAGGGTTTCTTTAGATACTCTTTCTATGACTTTCGTCTGCATTTTGATTGCAGCCAGATTAATGGGGTAATCTGCAGTTTGGATAATTGGACAAAGAACTTTGATGCACTGATCTGGGCTAATGGAAGTGGCCAGCATGGAAGCAGCTTCCTCAGCAGATCTCACCACCTGTTGAAAGAATAAGACATGGAAAAATGATTTCTTCTAATAGCCTGTTGCTACGGTCTGCTATCTGGTAGTTACGGTCTGGAGCATAAGAATCTCCTACCGAGAGCTCTACAGTGCTATAGAGCTACGTGAACGAAGAGTCCTTCAAGAATTTGTTTACAAGATTCCAACTACTGGATGTACTTCCCTAACAAGACTCTTCTTCCAATATTCTGTGGCTAATCTATGTCCTCACCAATATGCATTACCAGTTTTTCAAACCTGCTTGTTGAATTGGAACTCAAGTTTCTCTGTTCTGCAACACCCTCCCCGTCTACACACTGAAATATCCCCACCTTTGTAAACCTCTGCTTTCTTGTGGTGTCATTTCTTATTGTTAGGTCAGTGATCCCTGACATGTTTTTCCATTCGCCTCAAAAACATGTTTAATGACATGCCTAGATTGCTACTTCTAGAAGTCAATCGAGCTGTTTTTCCTCCCCTCTGAATCGGAAAGATACTGTGACAAGTACTTCAAGCCTGAAGAACATGCAGAATGGGCAGAACAGTATTTAGGGAGGAAGCCAATAGGTACAGAAGCTCAGGATACCACATGGGCACAACAGAAAATTCACACCTGGTCATCCTATCAGGGCAGCTGTGCCATCTGCCACCTAACAAGACAAACCGCTGTGCCAAACCATCGGTTTGTACATCAGTGAGGCGCAAAGCCCTCCAGAACTGCTTCTCTCCATCCCCGTCCCCTTTACGCTCTCCCTTACATACATGAAACTGAGAGATAAACACAGGAACAGAGAAGGAAAGATGGGGTCAGATGAGTGACACAAGCCACTGGTACGGACAACCTGTGACGCCACAGTCAGTTACGTATGGATTAAGTGCCCTTGACTGGGGAGGGCAGGGAGAAGAGGTACCCATCTGGTCACAAACCTGGATTCTTTCTGTGTCATCGGTAACACCGAGGTGACCTGGTTAATACTGGTGGTTACTGAATTTGTGTTTCTTTCATCTCCAAAGCGCTATCCTTTACTGCGTATGCGTGCATCACAAACGCTTCTGAGCAAGATGACAGTTATCCTTCTACTTCTGAACCCCCTCCCTGTTCTTGGCCACGACCTACTCCTCCCTTTGCTACGTTCCTGTGCGTTCTCCCCCAACAACATTCAAAGCCGTGCTCTCAAATGGTACAGAACGGGCTAGAAACGGAAAGGGTTGACCATTCCTTGCCAGGTTCAGTCCCATCTCTCAACCATGAACCTTAATGAAATCCGAAAGCTTGTCGTAGAGCTCCAGGACACCTTCATCTGGCCCAAGATGTCATACAAAGAAAGAAGTCCCCTCAGTTACTGCTTCAGGAGCTCGGACAACACATGACTGGTTACACCACGTCCTCTGGGTCAGCACCAAAGGCAACTGTTACAAGACCTGATATTAAGCATTTGAGCGCTTATAAAACTGCAGGGTTTTTTCTCCCTTGCATATCTGTATGAACTAATAACAGATGAATGCTTGATTATTACACAAATTACTTACTCAGCAAGATCTAATTTCTCAAACATCTTTTTGAACAGCTGTTTCATTTTGTAATCATCTGTCATAATCTCAAAACAAACGGAGTAAGTGACTACTAACCTCCTTATGAGGATCCTTATGCGCTTCTAACGTCTTCATGATTGTGAGCTCTGCGTAATTCTTAAACCTTGCTGGCTGGTTTCTTAGGATTTCCCTTAGAACTTTCAATGCCAAAGCTCTAATCGCATGCTGAAGATTTAATATTGAAATAAATAAGTTGCCTATCTTTAAACAGACATACATCTTAACATTTGTTCAGCAGCTGCAAGTCTTTGATAACAGAAAAGTATTAGATTGTGCTCTCTGCATATACACACTATGAACATATTGTTAACAATTAAAGCTAGAAAAAAAAAATTCAGTTTCTCACTCTTCTCCATCTCTCTCTGTAGATAATTCAGGTGGCATGTCATAAACATGTTGCTAGCCTAATCGAGTTGTCTGTGCTACCCAGAAGTTAAACTGCAAACAACGTTACTCTTCACAAGTGCTGATAAATCCTTTAGCATCACATAATGCACATGCATTTTTCAAAGTTTACTCTCTTTTTAAATCAAAACCAAGTATTAGTGCCTTTTTGATGTTCAGTAGTTTCAAAAACATGGCCCTTGTAGAGAACAATTACATAAAGCTCAAGTCTTTTCACAATCAGCATTACTGTATTTTAGAAATATATTTTTAAATGCTTTGCCACACATGATGTTTTGATATTCTGGATTCCACCGGGGGCTATTAAGAGAGAGCTTTGAATCCCCATGAAAAACATTTTGTTTAATCCACTGTATGGCAATCAACAAATAAGAATGCTTGAGAATGTAAATATTGCTGGTGTCCTTTTCACCAGCAGGGCATTCACACTTCACGACATCTTTGCATTTCCACAGTTTTTTGTTTTTCCAGACTAACTGGAATTTGTGCCCTTCCTACAAGCCACACAGGATTTCCAAGATACTGGAAGTAAACCGTGTGCTTTGTTAACATTCTTAACTGGATTAATCTGAACTTACCTCTTTATCTCCAAGTGTTTCAAGCAGCAAAAGTAGTATTGTTTTGAAGTGCTCATCCCAAACACCAAAAGACTCCTCTTGAGTTAACTTCATGAGCTCGTAGAGGGCAGCCTTTCTTTCCTCAACTCTCTCATTATGATTTGATAACTCTTTCAGTAACTCTGCAACCAGATCAGAATGGTCCATGGAAGGCTCTGTCAAAAAAGGCACACACACATAGTTCTCAGATCACTGCAAATAAACACTTTATTTATTGTGCCTGCTGCACAACTGAGGGATGTTTTCTAGAATAGCTAGCTGGCTTTCCAGCATGCCTTACTTTTTTTCGCCATAATCTGCCTGCAGAATTGCCATTTGGCTATTAAATTCTCAATGCAGCCAACACTGCTAAACAAGCTTACAATCAACAACCTCCCCAGCGATATTGAAAAAAGCCCTGTGAGCTAGTTTACTGCAAGAGTTTTTATGCTTGCGATAACCAAAGGGATAAGTACTCTGCATCCTTTCAAATGTGATCTATACACAAAGTGCCACCTTTCCCATACGACCCTTCCATCCAAGATGACAAACTGTGTCTTTTGTCTGACAGTATTACAGAATTCCTTAGGCTTTTGCAGGCCATGGTGCCACAGGAACAGCTAGGCTGTTAACATAAACAGGGACAAAAACAATCATAGGAGGCAAAAAAATGGTGCTTGTGATAAAAAATAGCTGAAATAGAAGCAAATCAAGGCTGTTAGTCCCACAGCGATTCCCGACAGCAATCACTAGAAGGTGGCTCTGGATTTCAGTTTTGATTGGAGAGGATTCCGTGATGATGGATAAACCAGTAACACAATCCCTATTTGTAAACGCAGGACTGCAAAGGGAAAGATCTGCAAACAGTCAAGAAACTTAAAAATGGTCTTAATGAAAATGAAATACCAAGTGGCTGCCTTTATTCCATCATCAAGGCCCATTTAGCCCTTAAGAAAAGCACACAGCTTCCATCTTTGCACTGACTCTTTTGGAAAAATTAACAGAAACATTTTTTCTGGAAAAAAACACTGGCGTAAGTTTTGGCAAAAAATGCAAATGTTCCTGCATTGCATCTTTCCTAAATTATTCCATTTATTAACACATGAAATACATCCTCTATAACAAATGTACTAGGTCATATACTAGGAAGCCACAGCCCTTGAACATCTTGTATTACTGTATTTAATACTGTAACTTAGAAATGCTGCACAAAGCACCTGTACAAAGAAACAAATAAAAACTGAATATCACTGAGTATCAAGTATCTTAAAACAACACATCAGTCACCTTAAAAATCTTGTTTTGTACCCAACATTCCTATTTGCATTTTGTTTTGCACGAATAATCAGGAGCACGAGCACCTGAGAGCAGAAACCTGTTTCTGCAAGCACTTCTACTGCCTCTATATTAATGAATGCTTTGCAGGCTCTCCAAATGGATCATTAATGTTTGCTTAAAGGACAGACTGAAACTGCATTAGGCAAGTTATTAATTAGTACAGACGAGCAGAATGGACAATCACTTCTACAGAAGCAAGACCATTATTTCTATTACAAGAACTATTACACTTGTTCTACTGAATGGTGAGGATTACAGTTACAGTAAATCCTATTTTGGGGAAGGCATATTGGCACATAATGAGCAAAACTACCCGCATCTGTTTGAATAAAGTTATTTTCACCGTGGAATTATCAGAATGAAGGAAATGGCAACTTGAACATTCAGAGGGGAGAGAAGGAGAAGGTAGCAGCCACATCCATGCAGGAATAAGGGGAAGAAAGAAGCTTCATTAGTGCAGAACATAGCTGGAATTCCTGAAAGACATGAAGACAACCAAGAGGGCTGTGCCTTCATAGCCTGTATTTTTCATGCCTCGGTACGACTTAGCACCCAGCAGTTAATTTCCAAACATTCTCCAGACCAGAATGAAGAAGCCTAAAAGTAGTCACATTCAAAGTCTACTCCCCAAATTTTTTTCAGAAAGAAAACAAAACACAAATGAAGAGGAGCAGACTCCATTTGAATGAGTCAAAATACACATTTAGATAGCTAAATATTTGATGAAGAACAGCTATTCTCAAACCAATCAAATAATATCCTTTCGACAGGATGAACAGTGTAGGGTTTAAAAGGGAACACATAAGCATGTCCTCAATTTCGTAAAGATTTGCTTACTGTCACCCACAGCATCTTAATACAGAAGCCATGCAAGCAGAGTGGCCAAAAAAGCCAACGGAGCGGGTACAGAACCCGATGAATCCGATGAAGGGACGTAAACGGCATTCCCCTAACCGAGGGGGATACGAGTAATGTACCCGCTCAGGCCCCTGCAGAGCCTGTGGGACGTAAATGGCATTCCCCTAAGCGAGGGGGATACGAGTAATGTCCCCGCTCAGGCCCCTGCAGAGCCTGTTTCTGTTTGATGCTTTTGTTAATGCTGTTGAAGGAATACGGGGCCCACTTATAAAATCTGCAGATGACATCAACTTCAGAGCAGTTGCAGACATTCTGGAGAACAGGATATAAATTGAAAATTATCACAGTAAGTCAGAGGAATGGTCTGAAAGGAAAAGATGGTAAAGCAAGACACAGAAGCAGAAACCTTAAGCGCAGGTACAAAGTGGCAGGTAAAAAGGAAGATATTTGGGAAACACAAATCCATGGAAGTAAACTGAAATAAACAAGCTGCTTTCAAGAGGAACACTGTTGTTCAAGCAGAAACCGTGGACTGCTTTTGAGGAGTCTGGAGTGTCTGAGAAAGCCAGGTTTCCTTATGCTTTGGATAAAGAGCATCTGCCTTGGGAAAGGACAAAAAAAAAAAAGCGCTGGTAGTCTGAAAACCTTTTCACTTGAGAGGCAAAACACTCAGACAGCCATATGGGCTACACGGTGGCATCTCTTCCACTGAAGCTTTCAGCTGTGAGGCAGACTGCCTGCAGAATACACCCTTGTGCCTCGGTGCTGCTGACAGGACTAAACGAGCAGCCACGGTTTTCCCATCTAGCCTTGGATTGCCCCATCCTTCTCCAAGCAACACATGAGAGGACGGCTGGGAGTCCGGTAAGACGAGGACTTGGCGTCATTACCAGGCAGCAGTTCTGTGCAGTTTCTGAAAATTAAGCTCCAACGTCCAACGAGCGCTGCAGCTTTACGGGAGAAGCCCGCAACTCCTCACTGCACCAAGTATTTTGCCGAGTGTATCTTTTCATGCAGACTTTTTCCAAGTTACCTTAGACGGAATTCTAAAAGTCACACACAAATAACAGAAGGCACACGGTGTAACTAAAAACTAAGGGTGAACACAGGAATGAATACCAGATCATGAAAAACACCTACTACTTTTTTAAACAATGATTACAGTGACACTTTGGAACCTTTGCAACATTTAGATATAAAAAATTACCCTAAGATACACTGAGAAATATTACAAAGAAGCTCTAAAAGCCTACCAAACAACAGCCTAAGTTCCTGGATTTACATGGGCCAAATACACCACCTTCCCAGTAAAAGCTGGTTTAGGTTTGTTTGTTTTTTCTTCTTAGTACTTTTTTTAAGAATGTTTAGTCAATAGAAAACACCAATGTCACATTTCAAACACAAATACATTACTAACAAAATACTTCATCACCCACGTAATTCCCAAACTGGTGTGATCCAGTTACAACAACTTCCTTGATGTAAATTGACCTCCCTCCCCCATTTAAATTTCAATCATAAAGCAATCTGATACGTATATTTATACTGACAATATGGCTACAGGACGTGCTACCAGAAGGATGAAATACAGTTCGGTATTTACCTTATTTTTACCCTTAATCTCTACAAATACCAAGTAATCCAACAATGTTAGTAATCCTTTGGAGTGACAAAGAAACTAATTCGAAACACAGTATTTGTAAAAACCTCTTAAAGAAGCAGCACTGCTGATACATATATTGTTAATTAATAGATTCAGAAACTGAACTAAAAGGTGAAAAACCTCACCATTTTTCATCTAGCACAGAAGGCAATCTGAAGCTTACCATCAGGAAACTGCTCTGCATCGTCATCGAACATGGCTTCTTTCAAAGCAGATTTATTAAATGAGCTGATGCCATCAGAATAATTGTATGGGTTATAATCTCGTGAACGTGGCGAAGAGTGGGGAGGCATTGTGTTGAGTAAGGATGTTTTGTTATCAAGAGCTGTTCGGCCTGTATCACTCACACCACTTCCTGCTCTTAAGTCTACTATTCCAGAAGCACTGCAAATCTGCAGGAAAAGAAATATGAATATATGAAATACACAATTACACTTCACAATTAGAGAATGGTTTGAGTTGGATGAGACCTCAAAGACTATCCAGTTCCAACCCCCCTGCTAGGGGCAGGGACCCCTTCCACTAGACCAGGTTGCTCCAAGCCTCATCCAGCCTGGCCCTGAACACTTCCAGGGATGGGGCATCCACAGCTTCTCTGGGCAACCCGTTCCAGTGCTTCATCACCCCCTCTGGGAAGAACTTCTTCCTGATATCCAATCTAACCCTCCCCGCTTTCAGTTTAAGCCCGTTACCCCTTATCCTGTCACTACAGACCCTTGTAAAAAGTCCCCCCTAGCTTCCTTGTAGCCCCTTCAGGCACTGGAAGGTGCTCTAAGGTCTCCCCGGAGCCTTCTCTTCTCCAGGCTGAACAAGCCCAACTCTCTCAGCCTGTCCCCATAGCAGAGGGGCTCCAGCCCTCGGAGCATCTTCGTGGCCTCCTCTGGACTCGCTCCAACCGGTCTATATCCTTCTGATGTTGAGGGCTCCACAGCTGGACGCAGCACGCCAGGTGGGGTCTCAAATTAACTATATTTCTAGTTCATCTGTGTAGCGAAAACTTCAAAACTTCAAATATTTCAAACTAGCCTTCAAATAAGAAGTCTTAGAAACAGTTCCCTAAACTTTGCTTTCCTTCAAAAGAAAGCAACATAGCCCAAAATAATTCATGAACTAGAAAGAGCTGTCAGTATTTTCTCTTGGAAGTTTGATGCTAAGTAATTAAAAACATGTTAAAGCATATACATATTTAGCAAGCTCAACAAATCGGAAAGGCAAAGTTCCATAGAAAAAGAAGTTTAAAACACCGCATGCGGTACTGCAAAACTCATAGGTTTTGTATGGACTAAAATAAAACCTTTGGAAAAACATATATTAAGGTGCAGACCTCTCAAAACCTGAACTCAGGCTGGTTTGCAAGACAATTATTCTTAATTTGGTAATATTTTATATCAACCCACCAGCAGTGCTACTCAGAATTAGTGTTTACATTTCCAAACCATGGTTCAAGACTAGGAACATATTTTCCTAAAGCTCAGAAGTAATTTAGTAGGAACATCCAATTTCAGAAGCTGTAACACATAAACCTGAAAAAAAGATGCTTTATCATGTATAACAAATCAGTCACTGGCTTGGTTTGCTGATACCAAGATGCACCGAGTTTAAATACTCACCGAATCGCCATCATCTTTTTTGGAATCTCGTTTTACAGGCTCATTCATATCTTCCTGACTACGAAAACTGAAATTCTGAATGGCTTCAGTGACTCCACGGAGAGAGCTGTAAATATCTTCAGAATTCATATTTTCAGTGTCATAGTCAAATGCACTGTGGGCCGTGGAGCAGGACATTGGAGTTAAGATGGATTTATTTTGTGACCCCATATTTTAAGTAACATTAACATGGAACAACAGAGACTCAAGAAATATTAATAAAATAATTACTCTTGAAACACATTAGGAAAGAAAGGTGACTCTCCACATAAACAAACTCTATTATGGTAGATCTTAGTCCATGTAGTGCCACTGAGAGAAAGCACTGGGAGTAGCTAGCTGAGGGAAAGGATACGTTATGCAGCATCTGCCTGAAGAAACAAACTACTTTTGCTCTGTTTCTCTCATGAATATGAAACAACCGGGATTTTTACAGCATCCTCTCTTTCTGAAAAAAGTTCCCAAGTAAGGAAGACTTATTGATAAAACTCAATGGTTTTCACAGTAAGTTGATTGCTAAAAAGCAAAATCACAAAGTCCACTTCACTGGCAACACTGGTACCACAGAACAAAACACCAGAACACTGATCAACTACTGCTTTTTTAAAGTCTCCCCAATATAAAGTCTGGTTTGATAATCGAGCTGATCTATTCTAACATTTGCTAGAGATGACCACTTCCACTCCTTCTCTTGTTAATCCATTTACACTCCAAGGTGCACAGCCCTTCCCACCTCAGGCCAGCCCAGACCCTCCAGGGAGGCCGAGCAGTTCACTGTACTGCCATTCTGTGACAGGCAAGGGGTTATTTTTCAGCATCTGTCACCGTGCAAAATTCCTTCCACGCTTTCTCCGTTGGGTTTACAATTTTGGCTAACACATAATGAAGCCTTAGATGCAGAACTGTAGCAACACCAGCCTACATTACCTTGGTGACAGTGTGTTCTGTGATGTATTGGTTGGGGAAGTGAGAGGACTTGACCAACTTGCGGGGGAGCGTGGAGTAGGTCTTGTTAAAGGACTTCCCATTGATCCCTGGAGGAGAGGTGAGAAGAGATATTCCAGGAGGACTTCAGCTTCCCTTTTAACTTATTATAGTATTTAATTACTAGTGCCCAGAAACATTTAAAGAGCTTCTATTTAATTTCTTGGACTGACTAACCAATGAGGTATAAGTTTGAAATGAGCAAAGTAAAAGATAAACTACTCTTAAAAAGCACACACAAACTTAAGTCACTTGGAAGCAACACAGACTTGGAAAATACCATTATTTTCTGGCAGAAAAGATAAGGCATTCCATAAAGACGGATATCTGTTACTAAGACAGACTTCCACACGGGATTTGAGTTGCCTGCCCTCCTCTACCAGCCTTCTTACTCTCACAAATAAGTCTACTGAAATGGTTTATGTTCAAAACACCAGTAACTTCAAAAAGAATGATGAGAGGTGTAGATACCTGACCAGTGTTGCCTGTATTCCGGAGGTGATTATGGAAAAGCTTTGTGGCTCCATCCTGAAATGTTTTTGGTAAAGCACCCAACAGCATTGTAAACTCTGGAGTGTTGAGTTCAAAAAGGGAAATGAGCACTGACTGTGCAGCCTAGAAGAAGAAAATACAGATTGAAGACATTAATTTGAGTTTTTGAAATAACCTTACCAGCAAGAGATGCCAGAATGAGCAGTAATCTCAACACGTGACTTAAACCTTGGTCAAGCTTGAATAAAGACGTTAATAGATGCTAACAAAAGCAATTCGTATTTGCTGGTAAACTGGAAGCTCAGATACTGATAAATCCAGGCACACAACAACAAGCTTACGCTATGCACAATCATTTTAACACGCAGTCTTTCAGAAATGTGCTCCTCAACTCCCCCCAAACCCCAGATCTCCACTTACTAAAGTACGTACCGAAGGAACCCACAAAATAGCTTTTTTTAAAGGGTTTGGCAAATTGAACACATTTGAAGAAAGAAATGTACCACACTGGGCAGGAACAAGCTTGCATTGTGATCACGGCGCTTGATACTCTTTATAAATTCTCCTACAGCCAAACGAGTTAACTTCATCCCCTTCCTGCCCTGCTTTATCTTTTTAAGAGACAGGCAAACATCATGAGGAATAATTAAGCTGACTATGTATTCCAAAGATGAAACCTGGTAAGTATTGGAGTTTGTAGTCTACCGGATGTCACTTCCTCCCCCTTCAATTTTAACAGTTCATCTGTGACATCATCCTCATCCTACAGCATGTTTTCCTATACTTATGTTTTAAATCTGAATTTAAACAAACAAAAAATGAATCAGAGCTTTTTTACTGAAAAAGCAGCACAGTAAGTTACACAATGGTGGGGTTCCCTCTAGTAAAGGAATGCTGAGTGCGTGACTCAGTAATGTTTGCACAGTTTGATGAATATTGACTGGACAGGCTAACAGACCCGTCAACATAGCAATGAAACTAACACATGCAATACAGGGCTAGAGATTAAGTTCTCCAGAATTGTTTAATAGTCTCTCTGCAGTACGAAACTCTGATTCTAAGATTAACCAACTATGCCTAGTTTATACAGCTCACCATCAAGGTCTGCCAGGCACTGGAGAGAACCAGTGCCTCATGCTAGGCAGAATGATAGGCAGCTTGCTTAAGCAGCAATATACTTCAAGCAAGTAGTTTAGAAAATTCTTTTAGACATTTATTTCCCTCCTTTTGCTTCCAGAGCAATGAACTGTAGCAATTTTTAATTAAAACTGGAAAGCCAAGGTATGAGCACACATCTCAGTATTAAGTTTAATGACATAAAATACTAGCATGTTACACTGCCACAAATTATCTTTGCACACTCGTGACTGGCTGTTTTCTTTGGCTTTTATTCCCTTCTCCCTCTGATGGCCTTCCCTTCAAGTGAACACCCTGAATGCCCTCTACAATCTCTCTTGAATGTTTCTCTTTTCCTTGCTATTTCTTAAGGTCAGTCTGTTAACAGAAACTGACACAAAGCAAAACCAAAACAAATCCGGCCACTGAGCAAAGGCTTGGGAATTACCACTTTCTTTTTTCTGTCCTCTTATCCACGTCTCCACTCCTTAACACTGTGCCTATTTAAGCTGCCCGTGAAATAACACAGTAGATAGTCCAGGGTCATACCAGGAAAGAAAGAGATACCATCAAGTCTGCCCAAAACGAAGCTTAACCTAAAGTATCAAAATTGGTATTGGCTCACAAAAGGTGTTCAGTTTATTTTCTTTCTCTCTCTCCCTTGACATCATCATCAAAAAAAGGCATTTTAGGGTATTTGGAGGCTTTTCTTCTCCTCAGCATAAGATCTCTCTCTTGAGATTTAAGCCCAGTCATACAGATAATATCTTTAAAAGTCTGCCTAAGGATTACAAGTATTTTTTTGTTTTGTTCTTGGAAGTCCAAGAAGATTCTAATTCTTTCCAGAAGAATTCTAATATTAGAAGACATCTAAGTTCTGAAACATAGAATTTGACCTTCCAAAACCCATGTCACTGAGCTGCACTGAGAGTGCTCAACTTCAGACTAATAAAACCAGCATTTTTCATAATGCTTAGTACTGGAAATGTTTTACTTAGACAACCCTAAAACTAACCCCAAAACCCATCAGTTACACAGAAATACACTAAGCAAAACCATTTATTTTAAAAAAATTACACTAAATGCTATAAGCTTATAAAAATAAACACAAAGGAAAAGCTTGCAGTAGCAGGCTGTAAAGCTTGTTAAGAGAATGAAACATTTTGTACCATCAGAATAACTCTTTTGAGTAACTATCGGTGAAATTTTATTTTCAAAAGTTATTCAAGGCTTCTGGCAGTTAGTTGCCTCTCACCGCTGTGTTATGGAAAGAAAAAAGTAAACCTAGAAAACCTCCTATAATTATGGTGTTCCAAATGATTGAACTTGCTGGCAATTCTTTCCACAATTCAGTCAGTTACTGACATAAAAATGCTTATTAGAGATATGAACCATCCGATAAGGCAGCTTGCCACGTGCCTTAGTACTAAAACTTTACTGATTTAGAAGATAGTGCTGCTTCAATTCCCCTCCTGTTTTATGGTTTTATGTATGTCACTAGAACGTGGTACTAGGCCAGAGAAGTCCACTGGATACAACCTATTACTGGGTTCTCATCCTGAATCAGTCAAAAAGATCATCTCTAACATAATCTCTCCCATGGTCTTCCTAGTGCATACTGCTAACATTCCATATATCGGGAAGTTGTGGGAGTTATTTTTATTTTTGTTCTCCTCACATTACATACTTTTTGAGACAACTCTCACTCTGCTCTCTCAATTCTCTCCCACAAAACATCCCTCCAAAAGAAAGGAAGTTTTGGAACTGTTTCCAGAAATGATGAAGCCGCCAAAACTCCAAACTTCATTGACAGTAGCAAAGGAAACCTAAACAAATGAATTGTTGCCAACTCTTCAAACTGAACAAACACAGAAAAAGGAACAGAAGAGTTAGCTGTATCAGAGATGCTTGCCCTTATGAGCCATAAAGTAAGTATTTTTTATTTGGCACCCAAAAAGCGTTAGCATGCTGACCACGGCAGCTAAGACCAAAAGGCTGGTGACAATCAGAACAACATCAAAACTCTACTCCATCGAACTGCAAACGAAATTCAAAGATTTTTGCTCTCCATACCTGAGGACTACTTAGAAACCCCTTCCAAGGACTGCGTTAGTGCATTTCTGATGGCTATTTGGTATCCATGGTGTATCTATGTAGCTCAGAAATATTTTACTTCACAATGGTTATGTGGAAAAACTGTGCTTTGCACTGGAACAGCAGCATTACAAGAACAAACCTTTGCTACCACTAAAAGCACAAACTTTTGTCAAAAAGCCAGCAGTTATTTTTTGAAAATCAAAAGTATTCAAGATTGTTTTGATCTTTTGAAAATAGAAATGATTCAAGAAAATCCAAGAGACTGAACTGAGTTTGCTACCAAACTTCCCACTCCTGTTACGAATGCGCTGTTAGTATCACACAGAGTAATACCAAAACTGTACATGAAATGAAACAAAGGTATTCCTTGTATTATGAAAGGTAATCTCAAGGTGTTAGCATACATAAAAATACAACCCTAGCAGAGAGTTTCAAGGCATCTTAAATTTTTTACCTTTTGCTGGTTTAGTTAGGACAGAGTTCGTTTTCTTCACAGCAGCTAGTATGACGCTGCATTTTGGAGCTGTGCTAAGAATGCTGGTAACATTGGTGTTGCTAAGGAGTGTTTGTACCAAGTCAAGGACTTTCTCAGTTTCTGATATGGCCCCTGTGTTCCCAGCTTCTTCTCTACCAGAAGCTGGGAGGGACACAGCCCGGACAGCTGACCCGAACTGACCACAGGGACATTTCATGGCATACAACGTCATGCAAAGTATGTAAGTTGGGGAATTGGCCAGGAGGGAAGATCGCTGCTCAGTAACTGGCTGAGCATCAGTTGGCTGGTGGTGAGCAATTGTATCATTTTGTTTTCCTCCCTCTCCCTTTATTTTAAATTATATATCATTGTTATTGTTATTAGTAGCAGCAGTAGTATTTTCATTCCATGTTAGAATTAGTATTATTAGTATAGTTATTCTATTTTACTTTCAACTATTAAACTGTTCTTATCTCAACCCACAGATTTTGTTGTCTTTTTCCTCTGACTCTCTCAGGTGAGGAACCAGGAGGCAAGTGAGCAGCTGCGTGGTACTTACCAGGGTAAACCGCGACATACTTAAATATTCTTAAACATGAAATTTTTGTCAGTTTTATCAATTCTGATACTTTATACAGAAAAATCAGGTGTGTTTCCTGAGAAGGATATAAAAGTATCTTTTCCCTATGAAAGGATAAGTTTATTTTTAAAGAAAAATGATTATTTTTGTTTAGGCAAGAGATACCATCTTCTCTAATTTGCCAAGATCCGTGGAATGTACCGCAGTTCCACATACACATTAACAAACATACCTTCCTAACGTCTGAGCTTTTGGGTTCTGTGGTCCAGGTGATGATTCGAGACACTGCTAACCTAGTTTCACTTGAATTTACAAAATCTCCCGGATCCATCTGTTGTGCAAGAGTCTCTATGTATTTAAGGATTGCAACTTTGACCTGCAAAGAGAGAGAGAGTCAGGTGGACAATAAAAACAGTGTGCTGCAAGAACAGGTGTGCTCTCAGAGTAGTGTGTTCATTCCCTAAAATAAAGAATATTCTCCCCCCACCCCCCCAATTAAACTAAACATCCTTTCAGCACTGATATAAAACTCTATACACTATATAAATTCACAAATGGAGGTAACATTTCCAGAAGAGAGCTATTCCATAGAAATTCAAATATTAATAGAAATCTTAAATTTCACTGGTAGCAAGTAAAAAACAAATAATCGCATATTCAGAAGCTTTTATTTACAAAAAGAAACGTACCCAGACTATTTAAGAATAATCAGGGTTTATAGAGTTGTTCAGAATTACTAAGAACTTTTTTCAAGTATTAAAATGAAAAATGAACATCATCTGATGAACCAACAAGCAGTTCCTAGTAGTTCTTACTCTGCAGTTAGTACTCAGCACTCTTTCGTAAAGGACGCAGGAGTTGAGTAGTTACTACCTTTGAGGGTAAGCCACATGAATCTTCCCATTAAATACTAAAAAGGTATGGAATAGAATTTTTACAGAAGTCTTAGGAGTCACATGCACACTTTTCCTTTGAAGTGTTTCTTTTTTATTTAGAAGGTAGAGACATGGATTTACGAGGAGGATAGAAAAGCTGCTTTCATCTCTCATTTATCTGACCATCATTCTCCTACTCCACTAACACCCTCTACTCCTTGTGCAGAATCTGTTCTACACATCCCAGACTGCAGTGCCTGTCTAGTTTCTCCAAAATTGCACCAGTGCACAGCTTTGGGCAAAAGGCTATTAATTATGCCTGTACCTTCCTTAAATATTTATGTCCTCAACACCCGCTGCCCCAGATATTTGTCAGGCAGCCAGTCAACAGGAGTGGTGAACATTTATTTAGGCCACCTATTTGATTTAGCTGCTTTTATTTCCACTAATAATTACAGTGAACCAGAAATACCTACCGGTAGGGAGACAGGACTTATGTCCATCGTAACCAGGGACAAAAGAGTTCTGGTAGTGTTTTTAATTGCTCATGGCTTGCAGCACAACTGTTCTGAGCAAAGCTATTCGGAAATTCAAAACTTGCAAGCTATTAAAACCACAAGAGACTCTAAGTGACACACACATTAGTGATAGCCGATACACGTAGACTGGTTTTCACAGCGGCTGTTACAGCCCAAGTTCTCCAAAGTTATACAGTAAGGAATAGCTGGAGGCTTTCATCTTACGCACATCAATATCAGCCAATGCAGTAAAACACACACTATTTCCTAAATTCTTTCCAAGGAAAAAAAACCCTACAAATGTCTCTGCAGCAAAACACTCGGTTTTCAAAAAGTAGTAAAGTTAAAATTTCTAGATTACCAAGTGAAAGCATGATGACAGCACTACGTTTCACTGTTTGTGATTTACATACATGTAATATCAGACCTTAACAAAAAATTACTGTTAATAACTGCAACACTTAAAACATCCAGAGGCATTTCTCCCAGTGACAAAATTCCTGAGTACTGTACTTAAGAGAGCAGCATTATTTAGTGCTTAAACTAGTCCTAGAGTAAACTGCACAGACTTCTGGAAACAGAGGCTCTTGGGAGAGAGAAAAGCACTGAACCGAAGAGGAATGGAGGGAGTTTGGACTAACGCAGCTTTTCAGAGTGAGACAGATACTCAAAGCTGGGTTTGACAGCTATTTTGGAAGAGTGTGTTTTTCACAAATTGCATTTGAGAGAAGAAATTCTGGAAGGGGCACCTTCCTATGCTCAAATACAGGCAGACAGCGTTATTGCACGTTAAAAAATCTACTCTGAAGTAAACTCTGTAATAGCAGCAGATCTACTTATGATCTATTTTTGTCACTACTTCCAGTAAATATGTACAGGGTTCAGATTTATAAAGGGCCTAACACACTCCTCTTTAACCATCCATCTAATCTCTCCCAGAAGGGAAAGAAATTATTTTTGAGCACAATGAAAACAACTCCAGGAATTCTTACAATGAATATTTGCCATTAAACTGAAACCACTGTCTCTGAAGTTGTTTAATACTGCCTTGAGTTTCTTCGTATTCTTCTGGGTTGAATTTACTTTTTTGCTGGACTATAAACACTGAGACATTTGTCCTGTACAGCATATAACACAAACAGGTATTCTCTTTAAGAACAACACTGCTGTAGTAAGTGAACTGAGATACAGATCGAGCCACAATTAGCACTATTACTCACAACAAAAGGTTAGATATAAATAGAACCTGCTTCACAAGCATCTTTCACAGATACTGAAATGACAAGTTCTGTCACACAAATATGTGCGGCTACCTCCAGAGATTGAGGAAGTACTGTAAGGGTGCTACACAGTCAGTGCCACTAGGCAAACTTTTTCCTGTCCTGTGAAAAATTTGAGATTTACAGTTTAGTTTGCTGCATCACGTTAAGGCAAAAGAAACATTTCACGTAACAGGAAAAAAGGTGAGAGGAATGTAAAGAAACTGCTTTACTTAAACCAGAAAAGTCTACCTCTTAAAGCGCTTTCCTGGGATGCAATAGACTCTGCTCTGCCTTACTCAAACTGAATACACACGCAATCGTGCAAAGTGACTTTCAGATTGCCACATCCCAGGTGTCTGTCCCTAAGCTCCTGGATGGGAGTGACTGCCTCTGCCATTATTTAACCAAATGACTAAAATACACACCAAAGATAAATTTTGAAGGGCTCTCTCATCTCTATGAATCTGCGTCATTGGTTGGTTGTGGGTTCTTTTTTTTTTTAATCTAGAAATTTTAATATGGATATAGAAAAAAAAAATTCTGATCAACTGTAGCAAAAACCTTTGTCAGCAAGTCAGTATTTTCAAAAGAAAGAAGGGTTCAGAAACTTGTAATGAACTTTGGCCACAATGCTTAAATCAATTCCTCACTGAGTGCGAGCCATTGGATATTCAACCTGAGAAAAATGAAAGTGATGTTCTGAAGTGTATTTCAGGACAACCGCCATCCCTTGGAAAGCATACGTTCTGCACCTGTGAAAATAAGCTTAATAGATTATATCCTGTCTTGATAATTTGAGTTATGCAATCATTTTACACAATACGCTGTGCTGCATCCTCCACGGATTAAGCCAGCAGATTTTTATTTTATCTTCTCTATGTTTGGTCCTCTGACTGGCTAGCTGTCCAAAGCCACCTCTGAGGCCACTTTAATAGCTTGACTTTTATTGTCCCAGACTTTGCTGGGTCTGTAAGTGTAAGAAGTACAATGACAGTTGACTCTAAAGGATCGTGATTATTTACACATAAAAACCACAGGAAAAATCATTTGTAGAAGAGAATCCTTCAACGGAGCGAATTTCTGACTGATTATCCCTTCCTGTATCTGACTGGCATTAAGGGTGCTGAAAATCCTTTCTCTGATTTTTTCCTTTTGCAGGAAATGCTGTTTCTCAGTAAATCTAGCCCAAAGGCATGCTCAGCCACAAAATAATCACTTCACATGGTTAAGAACAAAAGCTGAAGTCTTCAAGAAACTGAGGATGGGATTTAGGCAAAATATGAAAGAATGTGGATATTAAATAAATAATTCCGCAGTTTACGTTCAATAACTTCACCATCTGGATCCTGAAGTTGTAGCTACCTGAAAGATGGAAGTAGGGGACAGATACCGCTTTCTTCTGAAAATAAGCTTACCTTCTCTTAAACAGTTACATACTGTATTGTCCCAAAAAATCGCTTTAAATACTCCTGATTTTATTTCAAACTAACAGGTCTTCTTCTATGGAGGTAGTTTTTACCAAGGTCTTCATTTCAGAAGTCTCTCTTAAATACAGGAAGCTATTTTCAGAATGTTTTTCCATTAAGTGTTTCAGATTTCTTAATTCCTTCTAGGTCGCATACTGAGTATTTGTGAACTTAGCCCCACGTCAGCCTAGCAGAAGTCCATGTCTCGTTCCAAATCTACACTCTCAACTTTGAAACAACGTGTTTACCAGCTACACTAGTGTATAGAGAAAAAGAACATCTCAAACATCAACTTCACCTTCCTGGGGAGGAAAACCAAGTAAAACAAAACCAAGCCCAACTTTTTTCCAAGGATTTATTTAAACAACAAACTGATTTTTACTACCTCATTTGCTGTGTTCAATAAGTGACAGCAGTCTCTTTTTAACACAGCTCTACGAAGCAACAGTGGTCAACGTATCAACTGTCCTCAAAAGCTTAAAAATGTAAGTTTTACTGTATTGTAGACAAAAGAGGCATATTCATACGACTTTAGGTTTGACATAACTTGGGAAAAGTCATATTCTGATGCAGCATCAAACCAAAAATATTTCGTGCAGGACAGAGCAGAAAATGCAGTTGTTATATGCTTGTTATTTCCCCATTTACATCACCTGTCTTCTTGGGATTTGATGCATTTATCCAAAAATCAACTCTCTTTGGAACTGTAAACATACTACAATACATTTTTACTTTTCAGTTACACTGGCAGGTCTACGGACTACAGATTTTTATGCAAGAATGTGTGTAATTATAAACCTACACACTGCTTTCAGAAAATTAAGTGTATCACAAAGGGAGCTGATTTTTAATATAGTAACTCAAGTTCATATTAATATTAAAATAATCAAATTAATTCAAGACCTATCAGGCTGAACACAGGGAAAAAAAATATATGAACTATGAAAATAGGACTGGGAAATCACAAACATAGAATTAGAAAAGATTTTATAGAGTGAGTTTGCATAACCAGCTTGATGTTAGGTGGCCACATTGTTGTTGCTCATTTTTACTGTACTGTGTTTTTATTAGATGTCTCTTGCAGCAAACATTTTCATACTAGTGGAATGTTTAAGAGTGAACGTCTGCATGCTTAAAAAGTTTCTTGCAAAGGTTAGTAGCAGCATATGAATGCATTCAAATAAAAATTATTGGAAACACTTTAAGAGTTTGACATAGGGTTAAGAATGAAGACAATAATTCAGACAAAAACCTTTGAGCTCCAAAAAGAGCGAAGCTGGTCCTGTAGTGCTGGCTTGACTGTCTGAAAGTTTACAAAAACAAAATCCACTAATTGAAAACCTCATTTAAAAAAAAAAAGCCCACAACAGTAACATTCCAAATTCAAATATTAAGATAATGAAATGTCTATCAATGAACACTGTTTGCAATGCAAGCTTGAAAATTCCTACCTTCAGGCTAGGTGTTTGGGTCTGGTCAACAGTAAATCTCATTAAAATACTGAACTGGAGGTCATTTGGAAAAGATTCCCTGTAATACAAACAAATCATGTTATGTGAAATTTTCTTTTAACCTGTTGAGAGGCACTATATAGGCCCTTGCTCTTTTCAGTAAACAAAAGCTTTAGTACTTCTAAAAGAAAAACATTTCTGCCAGTTTTGTTGGTCTTGTATCTCATTTTCAGAAACATTCAACCAGCATGTAAAGGACAAAATTCAATCAATTCTGGCTTTGAAGCAATTATAGCAAGAACAGATAATGCGAGTAATAAGGAATGAAGCGGTAGTATTCTGATACTAAATCTATGCGATCCCCCTAAATCATTATGCACTAGTACACCACACCCCTCCTGGAATCATCCTGTTCCACTCTGGCTGCCTCCCCTCTCCCACCAGCCACACTCTGGCTATGACCCTCCAGGGTTCTGCCGCCGCAGAAAGAGAGGCGGTGTAGCAGCTCATATTCTGATTGCAACACACCATCCTTCTCCAGATCCCACAGCAGATCTGCCACGTTCTGCTGAACTTCAGAGAATGGAGGATAAAAAGTAGCTCCCGAGCAGCTCCAACTCTACTCAAAAGTACAACTTTCATTGGGAAATAAAAACTGGCTAGGGATGAGCAGCTCTGCGGGCCCTCAAAATCACGTAGGATATCAGTGAAGTCTGGGGACAGTGGAGGGAAGGCAAGGTGAACCCATTATGTTTTTATATCAAGATGAAGTTGCTCAAATGCAAACACCGCACCACTGAGCGCAAGGCAAGACAACAAACACACGTGGCTCGGATGCATATTCTGGAATCAGCTAAGTAGTAGCATATTAACTGCTCAGCATTAAGGACCCAAACCCTTTCAACCAAGAGTCATTTAGGGAACCCAAATGCTTAAGTAGCCAGGTTTACTGAAGTTTCACAATCTGTTGTTAGCCTTGCAATCTTCCAAGAACCTCATAAGCACACTAAAAAGCTCCTCAAAAACTCAGAAAGAGCATGAGAGTGTGGACTTTTTTAGCGTGGGGCTTTTTATTCTTTTTTTTAAGAAACCATTACCTTGTGACATCAAGTGCCTTCTGAACTTTTGCTTGTACAGACCCAAGCAAATCAGCACCCATTTTTTTCAACAGCTGTGTCAGCAGCACAAACAGCCAGTCCTGCAGATCTTCTTTATGGACCTGGATGAAGTCCACCAGTGTCTCCAAAAACATACTGAACACCTAAAAGGCAGAAGAAGATGGAAAGAGGGTAGGATGGGGCAAAAGAGGAAACGACACTGACGTACGCTGAACTTACAAACAAAGAAGAAAGCAGTAAGGGAATCAGAGGCAGAGAAAGGCAGTGTTTTGCAGCCAAGCAGGAAAAAAAAAGAAAGAAAAAAAGAAATCTGTCTTGCTTTTTCATTGGATTTTGATACAAGAGTACATTGGAAATGTTAGCTGACTTCTGTAGAAGTTTAACAATTAAGTATTCCATGCAGTTTCGTCAAGAAAATAAATGCTTACTGTGATGGCTGGCGCAACCTCAATTTTTTCAGTAAAACTTAATTTTTACCCTTTCAAGCTTTATTATTAGGCTGATTTGACGTATTCCTTGATGACTACAAAACCACTTTCTCTCTAAAACAGAAAAAGCTGCTACAATTCTTGAGCGAAATATTCACTGGAAGTATCTCTATTACTGAATAGTGCAAAATCACGAAAGCTGGCCAATTCCTTTATGTAAAATATCTGTGGAACACAACAGGATCCTCCTGTTATTGCACGTATCCAAACACAAAATTATGCACCAGAATAGGGCAAATAGGCACTTCATCTTATTAAAACCTGTTATCCATTGTGTTCTTATCCACAAATCACGTTGAACACAATAAATAGAATTAATGTTGAAAGGACTGCATTCAGTTAAAAAAAAAAAAGACATATTACTGCATTTATAGTCACCTCAGCACTTGAAACAGGAAGAAGGGCTTTTTGGAGGGAAGGGGTAAAGCAGGTCATGTCAAACATCTTGTTTGACAAGCTTTTTTAGTATGTCAGTAATTTTATGGTTTTTTTCCAAGACCTACTGTGAAAGCAGGATATATATGCTCTATACCTGTGTGGCCCATGGGTTTCCCATCTCTCTGGAAAGAAAAATGGATGTTTGGTCTGAAAATGCTACCTCCACTACTCCAGCACCTGCACAGAGCTGGGCAGAGAAGCAGAAGCACTGCAATGATGCAAAGAGGGCTGGGGAGACACTGTCTCCTGAGTATTTATGACACGGGTAGAAGGTTGGAAATAGCTGCTGCAGAGGAAGGGCTGAATTTCAACAGCCTCCTGGCTTGTCATAAGGCCAAATTCTGCTGCTATCTGTGAGTATGGATGATCCCAAAGTGTGATCATACCTCACATGGCTGCAGAAACCAGTCCACGGGAGTGGGCTTTCTTCCACAGCACTGACAAGTTATGGAGGAGCTGGCACAGGCTGCTGAGTGCCTTCATCGATGAGGAAATTACGTTACTTCTCATGTCGATGATCAAGCCAGCATAAGCAAAATTCACACCATAAAGAGAAAAAAATCCGCACAGGTATCCTTAAAAGAAGTGCCTCAAAATTTACATTAGAAATAAAAAAAATAAAATCAGGTTCTTTCGGTGTCTAATAAAGACCAGGGAAACTCTTTTAACAGACATCTTAAATACTGAAAAGTCATGTTAGAAACAAAACAATACATATCCTACTCAACACAAAGCCCATCAGGATGAGCTGCTTGAATTAACTTCCCTTTTGGGGCAAACTACACTGAAAACTGGAAAAAAAAAATTAATACTAATTTTGCTAACTCCTCCACTACTTGTCTAGATCTGCATTCAAGTCTGAGGTTTAAAAATCACCCACCCCATAGTGGGAAGAAATTTTTATGCTCAGGATTGGAAACGTCTTCTGTACTTGGCTGAACTGAAACAATACACCTCTTTGTGGATGCACAAGCAGTGGGCACAGTTATAAGACCTAGACAAAACGAAACCAAAAACTACTTTCTGTACTGTAATATAACAGCCTTGGCATTCAGAGCCCTAAAATAAGGAGGAAATAGGCAAGCAACAAAAAAAAATCTTTTGGTGCTATGAAGATTACAGTGCAGGTCCTACGACTGTATTTAAAACTCTTCAAATTGAACTACAGAACCTGGCAGAATTAAACAACTGGACCTGCTCCATCCAGCCTGCAGACACTGACACACATCTCTTACATTACAATGTGCAAGCCGAGCCAGTTACAACCTCTCATTTCATGGAATAATGCGCACTTCTTATGACACTTCAAACATGTAAAGTGGTTTAAATAGAAATCATTATGAAGTAAATTATGAATCATCATGGCAAAAGTGCTCTAAAAATCCTGTGCCAGTTTTTTCACTGGTAAAAATACACGTAAATGAGGACTCAATTTTGTCTCAACCTTATATTGATTTTCGGTTTACCACAATGAATGTCTGGAAAAAACTCCGATAAGCTGAGTCATTTTGCTGTATTTAAAAAAAGGTATGAGTCGTACCATTTTGTCTCAGGCCAAAGCATGGAGAATTTAAGGCGGCTGTGAGAGCATTTAAGGTAAAGGGTGAATTTGGAATGGAAATAGAACTCAAGTGCCTGTATGCTGAATGATGCATGTGTGCACTGCGTTTTTTGCAGTCTCCATTTTTATGATGTAAATCAAAATTCTGAAATCAAGCATCTAAAGTTGAAATTTTAAATAACTTGAGAGTGGAAAAAATAAACAGATATGAAAATAATCACAAGTGGTCTACCTTTAAAGTGAATTATTTCAGATGTGCCAACCACCACAATATGAAGC